CATATTCCATGTGTGTGTGTGTGTGTGTGTGTGTGTGTGTGTGTGTGTGTGTGTGTGTGTGTGTGTGTAGTCTGAAATGGTGTATATATTTATTTAGGTACATACAGTATGCATGCAAGTGAGTGCGCCTATGTATGTATGTATGTATGTATGTACGTATGGGCGATCTGTGTTGTAATGGTCAGCATGCTCGCCTCGCAAGTGAGTGGTCCAGGGCCATTTGCCTCTGTTTACCCAGCAGTAATTGGGAACCTGGATGTTCATCGATTTGCGGATTGTGTTCCGGGTAATGGTTAGCCAGTGCAGTTGGTGAGTTGTCCGGTCTTCTCAGACTATTCCTTGACACTGGGTCATACAACTCGTTAACTCAGGTTGTCACCATTACGCTTGGTGTAAAAAAACGGGAAGGAAAAAAAAGAAAAAAGGAAAAAAAATGGTAATTCCTTTGATGTGTTGTTTACTCGTTTTGTTCTCGTGATTATAATTGATGGCTAGATTCCCGGCAGCTTTGAGTGGCGAGGAGACAGTGGATTCTTACCGGGATGTGAGCCAACCCGCTTCTTGGAGATTCAACATGCCAAAGGGGTTAAGGAGAGGGAGGGGTGAAGAGGGAGGCGAGGGGTGAAGAGGGAGGTGAGGGGTGAAGAGGGAGGTGAGGGGTGAAGAGGGAGGCGAGGGGTGAAGAGGGAGGTGAGGGGTGAAGAGAGAGAGGAGGGGTGAGGGAGGTGAGGGAGGCGAGGGGTGAAGAGGGAGGTGAGGAGGTGGGAGGCGAGGGGTGAAGAGGGAGGTGAGGGGTGAAGAGGAGGCGAGGGGCTAAGAGGGAGGTGAGGGGTGAGGAGAGGGAGGGAGGGGTGAAGAGGGGAGGTGAGGGGTGAAAGAAGAGGGAGGCGAGGGGGTGAAAGAGGGAGGTGAGGGGTGAAGAAGGGAGGCGAGGGGTGAAGAGGAGGTGAGGGGTGAAAGAAGGGAGGCAGGGAGGTGAAGAGGGAGGCGAGGTGAGGGTGAGAGGAGGACTGAGGGTGAAGAGAGAGTGAGGGTGAGGAGGCGAGGGGTGAAGAAGGGAGGTGAGGGGTGAAGAGGGAGGCGAGGGGTGAAGAGGGAGGTGAGGGGTGAAGAGGGAGAGGGAGGGAGGCGAGGGGTGAAGAGGGAGGTGAGGGGTGAAGAGGAGGTGAGGGGTGAAGAGGAGGCGAGGTGAAGAGGAGGGGTGAAGAGGAAGAAGAAGGAGGTGAGGGGTGAAGAGGGAGGTGAGGGTGAAAGGGAGGTGAGGGTGAAGAGGAGGCGAGGGGGTGAAGAGGGAGGCGAGGGGTGAAGAGGGAGGTGAGGGGTGAAGAGGGAGGTGAGGGGTGAAGAGGGAGGCGAGGGATACTGGAGGCTTCTTTTAGTTTAACAAATTTATTGGCAAAGCTTGTAGTACAGTTTGCCTATTCTGAGAGGGTTAAAGAGGAAAAGGATGAGGAAAGGTGAGAGGAAGGATTAGGGAGAAGGAGGGCTTAGGGATGATTGGGGGTGAGGGAGAGATAGGGAAAGGGAGGGAGGGTTGAGGGGAGGAAGAAGTAGGAATGAGAGAGGCGAAGGATTGGGTGGATATTAGGACAATGTTAATGAGAGAGAGAGAGAGAGAGAGAGAGAGAGAGAGAGAGAGAGAGAATTACACATGCAAATTGGAGTTCATAAAATTATCTTGTGTTGATCGTTCGTAACCAAAAAGAATAAAATAGGCTACAAATTAATCGGTAGTTAAAAAAAGGTAAAAAAATATACAGTATATACTTCATGTCGTTTGCTGAATACGTCAGTGGCCAAAGAAGATAATTGAGTTATTATTGACGTATATAACTGATGAGTGAACCAAGCTACATAAAAAAAAATATATATAATGAAATAAATCCCTGGATATGGTATAATAATGGATGTAAATTACCAGGTTACTAAAATCAAGAGTGATAGTGTTATGTTATGTTATGTTATGTTCTTTGTTATGTGTTGTGTTATGTTATGTTGTATTGTTTTGTTATGTGTTATGTTATGTGTTGTGTTATGTTATGTTGTGTTATGTTGTGTTGTTTTGTTATGTGTTGTGTTATGTTATGTTGTGTTATGTTGTGTTGTTTTGTTATGTGTTGTGTTATGTTATGTTGTGTTATGTTGTGTTGTTTTGTTATGTGTTGTGTTATGTTGTTTTGTTATGTGTTATGTTCTGTTTATGTTGTGTTATGTTGTGTTGTTTTGTTATGTGTTGTGTTATGTTATGTTGTGTTGTGTTGTTTTGTTATGTGTTGTGTTATGTTGTGTTTTGTTATGTTATGTTGTGTTATGTTGTGTTATGTTGTGTTTTGTTATGTTATGTTGTATTATGTTGTGTTATGCTATGTTGTGTTGTGTTATGCTATGTTATGTTATGTTAGAATTAGGTTAGCTTAAGATAAGGTTGGGTGAATTAGGTCAGGTTAGGGTAGAATTAGGTTACGTTAGGTTAGGGTTAAATTAGGTTAAGTTACGTTAGGTTAGGGTAGGGTTGAATTACGGTGGGTTACGTTAGGATAAGTTACGTTAGGTGAGGGTAGGGTTAAATTAGGTTAAGTTACGTTAGGTTAGGGTAGGGTTGAATTACGGTGGGTTAGGTTAGGTTAGGTTAGGTTAGGTTTGAGGTGCATTAGATGTGATAAGGCGGTAGGTTATAGGGCTCTTAAGTTTAGGTTAAAGATTTCAGATTTCAGATTTGCCCCCGAGGGGGCTAGTTTATTGGGCACCCCCTTACATCCTGTGCAAGGTGAAGCGCAGAAGCGTTTACAGCGCCCAACAGGGAAGTATGAAAAGTTCATACTTGCCTTTATGACTCGTACATTAAGGGCGTAAAAGCCTGAAGGGTCATAGGTTTTGTCAAGTTACATAAAGTGAGAGAATGATGAGTGTATGGGGGGAAAGTTCCCGGTACATTTTATCTGTTTATAGCAAAGAGTGGCAGGTCCCTAATAATGTCAAATGCTAGGCCTGTGACTAGGAGGAGGGATATCTGGTCTGGGAGGGAAGAAGTGTTGGTAACGGCTGGGGACCTATAGGAGGAGGTCATAGGGCAAGTGAGGATGTAGTGAGAGAGGGTGTGAGAGTCGGGTTGGCCACAAAGTTTACAAACAGTGCGGCCAGGCTCAGGGTTGCCAATGTACTCCCATAGGTACCTGTACCCTAGGCGCAGTCTCATGTATATAAGCTGTTGACATCGAGTCAGGGATTGATATTCTTTGTAGTGGCGGTTGTCGTCACCGGTTACAGCGTCATAGTGTGACGCTACCCCGTTGTTTCAGGTGTATCCAATTTTCGTTGAATGCCTCTCGTTGTGTGGCGTGTATGCGAGATTTGATTTTAGGTTAAAGATGAATTAGGTTACGGTGTGATTAGGTTAGCAATATGATAGGTTAGGTTAAAGGCAAGTTAGCTTTGGTATAGAGGTAAATTAACAAATATTAGGGATAGATACGATAATTTAGCTTAAGATACATTAGATCTCAGGTCCAGGTTCAGGTCTGAGTTGTAGCAGGTGTGAACTGAGCTGCCTCCCCTCCTCCACCCCCCTCCCCCCTCCCTAGAGTCCATACAGGTGCCCTTGTACGGGAGACAGCAACGTCTATCTCCCTTATTGACAGCTGGAGAACTGATAGACAGATTACAGAAACTGAATAACAGACGTAAATGACGGGCTAACTGTATTGTGAAGGGGGGGGGGTGAGGTGGACTGAGGATGTGAGAGGGAAGGAGGGGGGGATGGAGGAAAGGGTGGACTGATTCAATCTATGGTCAGATTAGGTCTCTGTCCTCCTCACTGGACACTGATAGGAGTTTAAGGATGGAGGTGAGGGGATAGATGAGGTGTCTAGCCCATATCCCCCCACTGAATCTCCTAAACCTAACCTAACCTAACCTAACCTAACCTCTCAAGAGAGAAGGGGATAGGGGTGGGATGAGGGTGATGTAGAATGTATAGTTGGGATAGGTGTATGGAAGGATAGTATAAGTATAATTCGACTTATTTCGGATGGTATTGACGTGGCATTATGACAGTATAGGATAGACAGTTTGACATCTTTTGTTTGGGATAGAAGAAAGGATAGAAGAGAAATAGGATAGTTTTTGTCTTTCTTTCTTTCTCCTTTTCTCTGTCTATTCGTCTATCGAGTTTCCTCAAGATTTTCCCTTTGCTGCATTTTTTAACCCTTCCTTACCTCTTCTATCCCTTCCTCTCACTTTCCTTACCGTCCTAATACTCTCTTCTCTTCCTATCCTCCTTCCTTCTCTATACCTCTCCAGCATCCTCCATTTCAACAACTCCTCATACTCAAACCCCACCTTCTATCCATCCATCCATCCATCCATCCATTCATTCATTTATTCATTCATCTATCTATCTATCTATCTATCTATCTATCTTGACATCGTTAGGCAGGGAAGAGGTTAGGTAATATCGAGGTACGCTTCCGGGGGGTTGAGAGAGAGAGAGAGAGAGAGAGAGAGAGAGAGAGAGAGAGAGAGAGAGAGACCATTTACCTGAAGTAGAAATATCTTGGGCTGCCATTGAAATAAGGACAATGATTTACTGTTTACGTATACAAGGCTTTTATATAGCTTTTTTTTCTCTCTCTCCCTCAATTTCTCTCTCCTGTCTTTTATTCCGTCTGTTCTTTTTTTTTGTCTCCTCAATATCTGTTTTTGTCTTTTATTTCGTCTATTATTTTTGTTTTTATCTCTTTCTGTGTCTCTCTTCCTCTCTGGGATGTAAATAGGAATCATTGTGATGAAAGGAGGAAATGAGGAAGAGGAGAAGAATGAGAAGGAACAGGAAAAGAATAGGAAGAGGAGAAAATTAGGTGGAGAGGGAAGAGAGAGATAGAAGAAAAGAAGTAGAAATAAGAGAAGGAGCAGAAGGCTGGTGAAGGAGTGAAAGAGTAATAAGAATTAAAGGATGATAGAAGTAATAATAATGAGACAGAGAGATATAGAAAGAGACTTACCTGAAGTGGAAGAAGATGGCGAGCGAGGCACAGAGGGACGCCAAGGAGAGACTGAGACCCACTATCTCCATGATGCGAGTACCCAGGGCGATGTTCAGCTTCGTCTGTGAGAGATAAAAGAGACGGTGGGGGAGGGGGGATTAGTTCATGACGTATTAGTTGTTGGTTCGTGTTGTCATAATTGTTATTTTTATTATTATTACACACACACACACACACACACACACACACACACACACACACACACACAGCTGCGCCACAAGTGATTGGCCCATAAAATGTTTTAGTGAAATTGAAAAATTAGCGCTTCTTGTGCTGATCTGCATTTTTTGTGTTTTACATGCTTTATTTTTAAACCAGTCGTTCTTTAGATTGAGAAGCTCCCGGTGGGCTGTCGCTTTCTTCTTGTGGAAGGTATCACCTTTGGTCCGAGACTGAGGGTTGTTCTGCCAGTCAATTAAAGCAGCACGTTTATCATTGACGAGTACATTGATTGCCGGGACATGTTCATCAAACCAGTTCTGGTGTATTCTTTCGATCTGGCCGAGGGTCTCTACAGGATTTTGTAGTGTCGAGAATACCCCATTCGGTACTGGGATTTGGGTTGTTTGTTGTCGGGTTGTTTATCAGCCCATTTTCGAACTGCTCTCCGAAAGCAGCACCTGTTGGGTCCTCCAGACGCTTAGTGTTAAAACCTCTTCTGGAGGCTTGCTGCCTTCACCGTTTTGGGGCGACTTCAAATGACAGCTTGACTCTCACGAGCCGATGATCAGTGTCACAGTGGACTGAGCCACGCATGGCACGGGTGATGAGGACATCTCGGCGGTCTCTTTCTCAGACAATGGTATAGTCAATGAGATGCCAGTGTTTGGATCGTGGGTGATAGTGAGGTTGTGTGCATCACACTTGCTGTGGGGGAGTAGGCCGTTGGGATTACACTTGCCTAGTCCATTTCACACACACACACACACACTCACACACACACACACACAATCATAAACCTAGCCTGCTCTTAGCATAACCTGACTTAACCTAACCTATCCTAACCTAACGTAAATTACTCCTAAAATAATTTGCCTATTCACATTCCGCGGCTTCAGTATGAAAACTCAGGCTCTGCTTTTGTGTAATAATATTATGATTTCTCTCTCTCTCTCTCTCTCTCTCTCTCTCTCTCTCTCTCTCTCTCTCTCTCTCTCTCTCTCTCTCTCTCTCTCTCTCTCTCTCTCTCCCCCGTTACCTTCATCTCCTATTTATTCCCCACCTCCTCTATTTATCATTCTATCTCCCTCTATTACCTTAACAAGAGGGAAATACTCCCCTTTTATAGTGTAGTTCTCGTAGGGAAATTTTATGCTATTAGTGTATTATCCGGGACAGGGAAATTCATTATGTATTCAGTAATATCCTCAGCATAATGCATCACGCTGTATTACCGTGTGTTGTGTTACTTCATTTTATGTGTAAATACTGCTCTGTGTATGCCAGCTGTTCGTTCATGCATATACGGAGTCATACGTGAATACTTGTAAACGAACGGTTTTTATGTAGGTACGGTCGTAAATGCACTCGCGCGTACAAATTCATACACACATATATACAAACGTGTGCAAATGTGTGCATATATGTGAACGAACGTACCTATTGTGTATACATACATACATGCATACATATATTAAAATTATATGGAGTCTTAAATACAACTTGGTATGCAGTATGTCTTCTCACAGTATTCGCTAACAACACTGTACTCCATTATGTATGAATTAATAACCTAGTATAGTTTGTTCATCCATACAACTGTACAGTACATAGCAGGCACGGGGGCTGATTATAATCTTAATCCTGTAATCGTAATTCATTATGAATACGGTGCATTCATGATCGTAATTGTTGTTACAATATTGTGTCTATGTACTGTAATCGTGATCTAGCCATAATCCATCATTTCTGAAACCCCTTAATAATTCTGTAATCACAACACCCAGCTTCATCAATAGTTTGTAACCGTAACTGTAATCGTAATCTCAAAAATCTTCTTAATTTCTGATTGCAAGTGAAATACATTTGATATTCAATTTACTTATAAGATTGCAGTTCATTTCAATGGACTTTTCAATTTCTCCCTCCACTTTGAATAGCAATTTGTTAAGTCAACTTGGCGGCATGTGACTGTAATATAATCAGTAACCATATACTATGGCAACACTGACCACGTGACCAGTTGGTGCTCCACCACCAGAGGTCCTTCACGTCCCTCTACCCTGAGACAGGATCTGGCGGCTCATTATGGACACTTCCGCATTATTGGATATTGTCAGACATTTTGATCTACCTGCTTCAAGTGGCGGTGTTCAAGTCAAGGCTCAATGTTTTACTTGGTTCTTATTATCTAATATGCTATAGGACTAGGCGTGTGTCTGTTTGTGTGTGTGTTTGTTCTGGGCAGCCGAAACGGCACAATCGTTTTTCATCAAACTTGGTAGAAAAATCGCAAAAAATTCGTAGAGTGGAACAAACCTGGTCCCATGTCGATGGTTTCTTTAGGAAGGCATTAGTTAACAATTTTATTTACGATGGAAAACGATACAAGTCTACGGACTTGGCGCACCCTAATTAACCATGCAAGTCTACGGACTTGGCACACCCTCATTCGCTGTACGCTGCCACGAGCGTTCAAACTCTTACAAGGGCACGAACGTGCCCTCGATCACTTGTGTTTGATTCTATATAGTCAAATGTTACCTTATGTATTGTTGCTGTAATCAAGAATGTAATTGTAATCCAGGGAAATTTTAACCACCATCAGATGTATTGGAACCAATATAATCATAATTGTAATCTAATAAAGACAATTAATCATTGTAAACATGATTATAATCCAAAATATTGATATTTGGATTACGTGATCTTAATTGTAATCAAGATAAATGAAAATTGAACATTTAAATCGTAATCACTAATAGTAATGAGCCACGTGTATGAATGTGAAATTTTTTGGTGTTACATTTGTTTGAGAGTGGCCGGCCCTAGGGCCACCTAGGCATGTATTTGTGTAGAAACCGTCGCCATCACAACTACCTTACCCTAAGTTAACAAGCTGTATGGTCCTGTTTCAAGGAACAATCCAAGAAGATAGGACAACTAGCTAGCAGCTAGCTGCTAGCTGCACTGGCTAGCCACTACCCCGGAACACGATCCGCATATCGATTAACATTTAGGGAGTCACTGCTGGGTGAAAGTGATAAAGGGTCCCATAGGAATGACTGCACCCATTTACAGCTGGGCGAATTGGGAGCCTCTGGGAACAGGACACGAGCGAGCGCTATATCCACTCGACCGCCGCGCTCATCACTGCTGGGTAGACAGAGGCAAATGACGTAAAGAAATCTACCATAGTTTCAACCTGCCCTGGGATAGAACCGGGGTCCACTCACGAGGCGAGCATGCTGACCATTATGCCAGAGGTCGCCATTCATACACACGTACACACCACGTATAATATATACGTATATTGGCATTCATATCACCATATGCATTATACACACACACATATGCATAAATCATGTTATTTTAATTGTAACGATTTGCGTGCATGATTTGTAGCGCTGTTTCAAAAAACACATTTATGCTGTCGGCTTTTACTGCCTCTGTTATGTAGTCAAAGAATTACATCGGCCATCTGCCTAAAAGTTATTATTTAATTGTTTAACATCCCGTATATGTTGGTCGGGATTTATTATAACAGGATTTATATCATGGTGTATATGGATGTTATACGTGTTGTTTTGGGGATAATGACGTCATGGTGGTAATTATTATTTGTTTAATTGATGTCTACATATAGGCACAAATTATGTAGGTAAACATCATTACTAACGTAACTAACCTATCCTAACCCTAATTTATTTATTTAATATAATTTAATTTGGGTAAAGTTTTGTTAAGTTGAGATAAATAAGGATGTCTTAAACAGTTACCATAGTGACCAACCCACCAAGGGTTCTAATGATAACATGGTTTGAACGAGGCATCCCTATCTATGTTTCTTAATGTTAATATGACGATTATCTGTAAGACACACACACACACACACACACACACACACACACACACACACACACACACACACACACCTTTATTTGCTTTGATCTTTGATATTTACGCGCGCATTAAATTTGTTATATAAATATTTCCGTTCACATCCATAACTGTATATATTTATAACCTATGTGTGACAAATATGTGAGAGACAAACGTATATATATATTGTTCTGGACATGGGGGAATAAAGAGATAAAAAAAATACAGTAGGACAAGTGGGGAGGAGGTGGTAAGAACGGTGAGGCTGAGGAGATGTTAGGGCAGGCAGCAGAGGAGGAGACTCGATGATAAGAGTGACAAGAGGATAACAGTGTGTGTGTGTGTGTGTGTAAGGAGTCTACGCCAGGAATGTGTACAAGTTAGATGTGAATGGTAGAAGGAAGACCACGAATAAGATGGAAGGATGGGCGTGAAGGGAGTATTAAAAGTCAGGTGGTAGGGGATGGGGGGGGGGGTTAGACCTGTAGGAGGCAACAGTGTATACGACTAACAGGAGAACAAGGCGTCGGGGTGGCTGACGAGTAAGTGACAGCAGTGAGGTGGTTGAAGACACAAGTGAATAACGAGTGTGTTGTTGTTGTTGTTGCGTCTGGCAAGTTTACCATAGTGGGACGAAACGGGACAAACTAAACCTCGTATTTATAATTGTATTTTCCTTTATATTTTATTCTAACTGTCTTGGGGGTAATATGATGACTGAATGCGTTAAAAATATATATCTAGAGTATTTTATTAGTCGGTATTGTAATATTTAATATATAAATAAGAATTCCTTGTCTTTATTGGTTATGAAAAGAGGAATCATAATTGTCCTTCCCAATTAGATTTACAAAACACATGGTCTACTTGAACAGTTAGCCAACGAATAGTGCAAAAATATTTATACTTTTTAGGTACGACGAGCAATACTTTGATTTTTGTTTATTATCATCAATTATTTTGTGTTCGGATAATAATCGATTAAAATCACTTAAAATCGCTTGACTATAATTACCCCAAT